TTTATGGTTGAATAATATTCCATTGTGTGGATATACCACAATTTGCTTATCCATTCATCTGTCAATGGGATTTGGGTTGCTTCCCTGTTTAAGCTATTGTGAATAATGCTACTGTTAACATAGGTGTGTGTCCAAATGTCTCTTTGAGACCCTGCTTTCAGTTATTTTGGGAACATACCCAGATAGAGAATTATTGGATTATATGGTAATTCTACGTTTAATTTTTGGGTGGACCACCATATTGTTTTCCACAGTGGCTACACCATTTTTCATCAACAGTGTACAAGGTTTCCATCTTCTCCACATCCTCACCAATACCTGTTATTTTCTGTCTCTTTGATACTGGCTGTCCTCATGGGTATGAGATGATGCCTCATTGTGGTTTTGATTTGCATTTCTCCAATGACTAGTGATGTTGGGCACCTTTTTAATATCCTTAGTGGCCATGTGTATATCCTCTTTGGAGAAATGTCTATTCAATCGTTTGACCACTTTTGAGTTGGGTTGTTTTAGTGGTTGTTGAGTTTTAGGAGTTCTCTGTATACTCTGATACAAATTCCCTATCAGATATTTAATTTGAGAATATTTTCTCCCATTGTGTGGTTTGCATTTTTTTCTCTGTTGATAGTATCTTTTGATGCACAAAGTTTTAAATTTTCATGAGGTCCAATTTGTCTGTTTTCCCCTTTTTTTTGCCTGTAACAATACATCAGATTTTATATTCAGAATGAACTTTTGATTTCTACCTGTACCCTGTTTCTATCCTGGTCTTTTCCCTTTAAGTAAACAATATGACCAGCCTCCCAGTTGCTCAGATGTTTGGGAATTAATTTTGAGTTCTTCCTGTAACCAGTACAATGAGGATTTTTGTCAGTTCTACCTCCTAAATATCTCTTAAATCCTTCTTGTTAAATCTCTAATTTTTTTTGTTAGGATATAGAAATGCTATCGATTTTTATATATTTACTTTGCATCCAAGCTAATTTCTCTTATTAGTGCTAGGAGTCTTTGATGTTTTGTTTTATTTTTATTTTTTGTAGATTATTTTGGATTTTACTATGGAGACAGTCATGTCTTCTGAGAATAGACTGTTTGATTTCTTTCTAATCAGTATGCCCTTCCTTCCTTCCCTTCTTTGCTTCCTTCCTTTCTTCCTGCCTACTGCACTAACTAGAATTCTAGTATGATGTTCAGTGAGAGTGAGAGAGCAGACCTCCTCTTCCTGATGTTAGGGAGAAGGCAGTTGATCTTTCACCAATAAGTATGATCATAGCTATACTTGTTTACGGATGTCGTTTATCCAGTTAAGGTTGTTTATTTCTTTTCCTAAGTCACAAAGAGATTTTATCAGACAGTGTATTTTAAGGCTATTTGGAAAACACCCAAGATACTAATGTCTGCCTTAATGAATACTGACAAAAATAAATCATACCTCTCAGGGTATCACTGATGTAAGAATTTTTAAATTATCGTTATAATACTTTTTAATGTCCTTGAGTGTACCATTAAATTAAAATAGAACTAGGACCTCCAATAAAACTAGGAGGTCCTAGTTTTATTTTAACTGATTGCTTTAAAAAAAATTTTTTTTAAGTGTTTTAAACACTTAACAGCTTTCCATACCGCTCCTGCCATTCCTACCCAAGGCTTCTCTTCATGGGGGTCAGGTGTGTGCTGACATTGGGGTTCCTGTACTCTTGGCACCCACTTCTTGGCAGATACCTATCATCCACTTTGGAGACCCACCGAGAACAATCCTTCTCTGTCCCCCTTCTAAGTCATTTCTTGACATTTTTCAGAATCTTTCCCCTTGTTTACCTATGTTTCTTCCTATCCTTTATATACATTCTTTTTGTGAACACAGAACCCTGCTTGAGACAAGAACTCATTGAAGCTCTGTGTCCTTGGGAAGGTTTCTATTTTTTCTGTTCATGATGCTGGTGAGTTTGGCTTTTGGCTTTGGGTTCTCATATATGATGGAACTGTTGTCCAGGCTAGAGTGCAGTGGTGCGATCTTGGCTCACTGAAACTTCTGCCTCCTGGGTCCAAGCATTTCTCCTGCCTCAGCCTCCTGGGTAGCTGGGATTACAGGTACATGCCACCACGCCCTGCTAATTTTTGTATTTTTAGTAGAGGTAGGGGTTTTGCCATGTTAGCCAGCCTGGTCTTGAACTCCTGACCTCAAGTGATCTGCCCGCCTTGGCCTTCCAAAGTGCTGGGATTATAGGCATGAGTCACTGCGTCTGGCCATAATGGGACTATTTTTTTAGTAAGCTCTAGTAAGTTGTGCTATGATCTTTCTTAATACTAAGTTGTTGTGAATATTGTAACCCTACAGAGATTCTGATATATGCAAATGAGAGCTTGTTAAAGATCATGCAAATGTTTGCATTAAATTTGGCTTTTTGTAATCTAGGATTTACTCTTTTATTTCTAAATTGTGAACTAAAAACTATTTCTCTCCCTGGGGAAGATTTTCATTCCTTCCCAAACAATTTACTGGTTGTTATGCACACACAGTGGGTCACTGACAAAAATGGGAGAATTTATTACATTTAGGGGGGTGGGATGTGGAGAGCAGACAGCTGACAGCTTTGCATTCTTGTTTGTACCAGACTCTAGACGTCATTATCTTAGTATGAATTCTTACAGCCATTCCCAAGGTATGAGAATTATCATCCCCATTTCATACACAATGAAACCAAGGCTCAGAGGAACCAAGGGATGTACCCAAGCCATGCAGCATGTAAGGGGCAAGAGACCAACCCCAGGGCACATTCACTCCACCTCAGCACTTGGGACTCCATGCAGGAGTTGTAGAAAGTGTTGGAAAAGCCACTCAAGAAAGAGGCTCATCTTTTTTCTTTTTTTAAACAATATATAAATAAACACTTCTTTTGAGACAGAATCTCTCTGTCTTGCCCAGGCTGGAGTACAGTGGCACGATCTCAGCTCACTGCAGCCTCTGCCTCCCAGGTTAAAGGGATTCTCCTGCCTCATCCTCCCAAGTAGCTGCACAACAGGCATGTACCACCACACCCGGCTGATTTTTCTACTTTCTGTAGAGAAGGTGTTTCACCATATTGGCCAGGCTGGTCTTGAACTTTTGACCTCAAGTGATCTATCCGCCTCAGCCTCCCAAAGTGCTGGTATTACAGGCACGAATCACTTCGCCCAGCCACCAGGCTCATCTTTGCTGGAGGAAATTCAGGGAAAATGAGCTGCATGGTTTTTTTTTTTTTTTTAAACAGATTATTGGGGGATATTGATGGTTTCCCTAAAAGCAGCATCTCTCTTTGTTTAGAAGCAAACTTCACGGTACTGTGTGTAATTCCCAGCTCTTCCTTCTTGGTTGCTTCCTAGATGAAGTTTCCTTCCCAAGTAAGCCTTTCTTTTGAACTGCTGCTTCTTAACTTTTCTGCTTATGGTCGTTAAGTCTTTGGACATTTTCCATACCTACCTCAGTTAGCATACAAAGGGCCATGACTAATGCCCTTGAAAATCAAGAACAGGAGATGCTCTGTACCCCAGTGTATTATGAAGTCCTCAGCCTGTGCCTCAGGGCAGCCAAGAGAAGTCACCCAGAGAACAAGGACCTTAGTTTGTGACCAGGACAGTGTAGACAGTACCCTGAGCTAGGTCACCAAGTTCAAATCCCCATTACTCTACTGGGTGTCAGAGGACGCGAGTCGGTGCACACACAGCTCTGCGATCAGTGTGTGGCCTGTAGGAAGTGCTAGGAAGTATTGTCAGTGATTGAATATCCCCAAATCCCCAAGTCAGTGTGAACAGAAAAAAGAAGTGAGAGGGGCGCCTTGAGGTCTTTAAGAAAACCCGGTGAGGAAAGTGGTGATGAATCAGCCTTGGGCCACAAGGACCTCTTTGAGAGAGCTTGCTGTGTTCAAAGCCACAAAGGACTTGTCTTTCCTTAACTAGCATGGGAAAAGAACCAACCAGTGGAGTCCAAGAGAGGATCATATATAAGTCAACACAGATGCCTGCAGTCCCAGTTCAGCTTAAGAAGCAAAGTCAATCAGTGGCACCTTCGATGTGGACAGTGGGTGAATGAACCCCCAGCACCACCAAAAGAGAGGCTTCCTGGTCCCTGGTACAGGCAGAACCTGCTTCTCCCCAAGGCTCCCTGCATTGGGCTTCAGGCCGTGCAGCCACCTCCCATCTCTGGGACCAGTGGAATGGGCTTGGCAAAGGCTGGCTGATGGCTGCAACAGGAGCTGGGGTCCGAAGTCCAGCCTGCTCAGCCTCTGTTAGAAGTATGTCCTGCCTGCCCCAGGGACTGAGAGTCCTCGTTTCCAGGGTGCTGGGGGTTTGTCTGCTGTCCACGCCGGCCTCATGGCTGGTCTGAGCTGGTCCAAGCTGGTCCTGGGGCTCCCAGTCCAAACGTTCATTCCAGCCACGTGGCTGGCTTCCTCAATCGTTAAGCCCTAGATCCATGGGGCTAAAACCTTTGCATTCTTTTTTTTTTTTTTTTTTTTTTTCCTCAATGAAAATTGTATGTAAACTTGGGAAAAGGAAGGAAAGCAGGGAAGGAAGGGAGAGAGGCAAGGAAAGATCTGGCCTAATTTTCTTTTTTATGAAGACAGAATCTCACGATAGTGCCCAGGTTTGTCTTGGAACCCTTGGGCTCAAGTGATCCCTCCCACCTCAGCCTCCCAAAGTGCTAGGATTATCGGTGTGAGCCACTCCACCCAGCCCACTAATATTTAATCTCAGGATTGACTTCACACCATCAACTCAGCAACATGGGGCAGAGGGCCGTGTAGACATTGAATCACTAAGGTGTCCTGAAGAAGGATGGGCAAAGGCCCCCACCAGACTTGTTGATTTGCTTTTAGCACATGACTGCATTTTGCAGTTTCCCTGTGCTAGATGGAGGTAATTTCTAGATTATTCTCTCTTAATTTTATGTTGGTAAGTACTTAAGTTAGTTATTAAGTTAGTAAGCCTCTGGCTGTTTCAGGACATGACACTTGCCCTTCCAGGGAAGCCGTGGCGGAAGGAGCAGACAGAGGACCTACAGCGAGTGCTCAGGACCGTGGACAGGGCCATCCCACTGGTCCTCGTCAGTGGCAACCATGATATTGGCAACGTCCCCACAGCTGAGACCGTCGAGGAGTTCTGCCAGACTTGGGGAGATGACTACTTTAGCTTCTGGGTCGGAGGTGTGCTGTTCCTGGTCCTCAACTCCCAGTTCTACGAGAACCCCTCCAAATGCCCCGGCCTGAAGCAGGCACAGGACCAGTGGCTGGATGAGCAGCTGAGTATCGCGAGGCAGCGGAACTGCCGGCACGCCATCGTCTTCCAGCACATCCCTCTGTTCCTGGAGAGCATCGACGAGGATGACGACTGCTACTTCAACCTCAGCAAGCCCGCTCGGAAGAGGTTGGCAGACAAGTTCATCCACGCAGGTAGAAGCCCCGGGCCATGAGTTTCAGGGAGGAAGGGCAAGTCTAAACACGGCATTTCCAGGTCCGTCTCCCATCCCTATGCAATGTGGCAGAAAGGGAGAGAGTAGGCCGGGGGTTCTGAGCCCAGCTCTTGGACTCGCAGGCTGCATGCCTGGCTACCTGATATTCCTGTGTCTGGATTTCCTTGTCTGTAAAACAGGAATAGTAGTAGTAGCTCTCTTGCAGGATGGTTTTAAGGATTAAATGAGAAAGGCCTACAAGACATGGAGAGCAGCCCCTAGCCTAAGTACTCAGTGTGTGTCACAGCTGCTTGCATAGTTGAAGATCGGGGTTCTGGATGTGGCGAGAGGGGTTTAGTGGGGAAGGAGACCGGTGGTGCTGGTGGGTGTGAATGTGGCTTGCACCTGCCTTGGGAGAAGGCAAGGTGCCAGGGACATCTTTTCTCACTTCTCTGGGAAGCAGGCCCTTGCTCAAGGGCAGATGATCTTTAAGAGCCAAGCTCCCACCCGTCTTGATCAGCTGTGACCCAGGAAATCCTGGGATGTGGCTTTAGTGTACAGTTCACGGGCCATCACCAGTTTTCCTCTGGCAAGGTGGATTAATTTCTTCAGACTCAGGAGAGAGTAATGGATTTAGTCCCATCTTTTGCCGCCAGTCATACATGTGACACATGTGTGCACACACAGAATGAAGACACCTCAGCTTCTGATGGCGCTCTAAGGCACTACCCCACCCACCTCCTTTTTCTTTGTGGCAGCAGCTACCATGGGCCTTTTAAGAGAAACATTGTTGTGTTCTAGGCGGACTCTCTGGATTACCAGTAACTTGACAGATTCCGATTTTGACAACTGTTCTGAGTCTTCTCTTTGTTGTCATTCTTCCTTTCAGATCTTTCCAGGGCTTGCTTTTTTTTTTTTTGAGACAAAGTCTTGCTCTTTTGCCCAGGCTGGAGCACAGTGGTGCCATCTCGGCTCCACCTCTGCCTCCTGGATTCAAGCGATTCTGCCCAGCCTCCCGAGTAGCTGGGATTATAGGCGTGAGCCACCACACCTGGCTAATTTTTGTGTTTTCAGTAGAGATGGGGTTTCACCATCTTGGCCAGGTTTTCAACCGCTTGAGTTCGAACTCCTGACCTCAAGTGGTCCACCCACTTTGGCCTCCAGAAGTTCTGAGATTACAGACGTGAGTCGCCATGCGTAGCCACCAGGGCTTACTTTCACCAAACACTTCAAGAGTTTAAATATATTTATTATTTGTTATGGGTTAGTGGGAGACAGGTGGCCTGATCCAGTAGCAAGTATTCATTAAAAAAGAAACATTCTGATACTCTTCTTTTCATCTTTGAGTATTACGTATGTTTGCATTTACTTGTGAAGAGTACAAAAGATCCTTCTCTATTTTCTTCTTTTTGGGGGGTTGGGGCGGGGGTGGAGACAGAGTTTCACTCTGTTCCTCAGTCTGGAGTGCAGTTCCACAATCTTGGCTCACTGCAACCTCTACCTCCTGGGCTCAGGTGATTCTCATGCCTCAAGCCTCCCAAGTAGCTGGGATTATAGGCACTGACCACCACACCCAGCTAATTTTGTATTTTTATTAGAGATGAGTTTCCACCACACTGGCCAGGCTGGTGTCAAGTTCCTGACCTCACGTGATTCACCCTCCCTGGCCTCCCAAAGTGCTGGGATTACAGGCATGAGCCACCACAACCGACCGACCCTTCTGTATTTTCCAGACATTTTAGAAAAAGCTCACATAATTGGAGACATTTTCCAGCTGTTCCGTGGAGATAAAGTTAGAAAACTTCTATTAAGGCCTTTGAAATTTCACGCTATGCTTGAGTTGGTACAGAAAACCATCTTGATGACAAGGAAACAGTGTCAAGATGGCATCAGCACCACCGTGGAGACTGTTCTGTAATGGAGAATAAAGCAAGAGAGAACACTTAATGCCACTGAAATGATTCCTTTCATATCTAATTTTTGTTTTTTTTGAGATGGAGTCTCCCTCTTGTCACCGAGGCTGGAGTGCAGTGGCACGATCTCAGCTTACTACAACCTCTGTCTTCTGGGTTGAAGCGATTTTTCTGCCTCAGACTCCCAAAAATACATGGGATTACAGGCACCTATTACCACATCCAGCTAACATTTGTATTTTCAGTAGAGACAGGGTTTCCCCATGTTGGCCAGGCTGGCCTTGAACTCCTGACCTCAGGTGATCCACCTGCCTCGGCCTCCCAAAGTGCTCGGATTACAGGCGTGAGCTACTGCAGCCAGGCACATCTAATGTTAAATGATGTGAATGCCATGTCTGTGACTTCCCTGAGTTATTTGTTCTTGTCAACCACATTCCCGAGTGGTATGCAGTTCTGGAGTTTTCTCATTGTAGGACAGAGCACCTCCAGATATCAACAAGGCCCACAGCCCTAATATTTTATATTTATCATCATTATTATTATTATTATTGAGAGACAGTGTCTTGCTCTGTCACCCAGGCTGCAGTGCAGTGGTGCTATCATGGCTCACCTCCTAGGCTTAAGCAGTCTTCCTGCCTCTGCCTCCTGAGAAGCTGGGACTACAGGCACATGCCACCGTGCCCAGCTAATTTTTTTAATTTTTTGTAGAAATGGGATCTCTCTGTTGCGCCAGGCTGGGCTTGAACTCCTGGCCTCAAATGATCCCCTTGCTTTGGCCCCTCAAAGAGCTTAGATTACAGGCATGAGCTCTAACAGGGCACCCTTGGGAGAAGCCTGTTGACCACCCCCCGAGGGCCCTACAGGGTGACATCATATCCATGATGACCCAGCCCTCTGCCCACTCTGGGCTGTAGCCCCTCAAGCTCAGGAACAGAGTCGTTGGCAAACCAAGGGCTGGTCTGTGTCTCCAAGTATCCCAGCTTCCTGAGACAGATAGCTACAACCAGAATGGCAATTGATTGATTTAGAGCAAGACCACAGCCCTGGCCTCCACCCCAGCAGTGTAGTCTCCTCCCGTAGGCAGAGCTACATGGAAAGCCCAATTATAATCAGGAGGTTGCTTGGTAGGTATGAGACAGAGCAGGGGGGTTAGTTCCCTTTTTCCACTCTCAGTGACATGAGGCACTAGAATCCAGTAGCTCTGCCTCCAGCAGGAGCTCGCTAGCCTGATGGCGCTTGGTTATTTCATGTCCCTTTAATTCTCCCTCCTTCGTGTCTCTATAGTCTGTCCACTTCTTCAGGCCTCCTCATGATCTCATCTGGGTCCTAGCAGCAGCTTGGCACTGTGCTCCCTGCTCCGCTGTTGCCTCTTCTAGTTTGTTCTGCATCTACCAGCAAGAGGGGAGTATAATGGACTACACAGCATGAGGCTTTCCTTCACCCCCAGGTACGGCCCAGCTCCTCACTGCAGCGTCCAAGGCCCTTCCCAGTTACATCTGCCTTCCCCTCCAGGCTCTTCTGGTTCACCTGCCTAGGCCCACTCAATTTTTTTGTCTTTTGAGACAGAGTCTCACTCTGTTACCCAGGCTGGAGTGCAGTGGAACAATGCTGGCTCACTACAACCTCCAACTCCCGGGCTCAAGTGATTCTCCTGCCTCAGCCTCCCGAGTAACTGGGATTACAGGCTCGTGCCACCATGCCTAGCTAATTTTTGCGTTTTTAGTAGAGATGGGGTTTCACTATGTTGACCAGGCTGGTCTTGAACTCCTGACCTCAAGTGATCTGCCCACCTCTGCCTCCCAGTGTGCTGGAGTAACAAGCGTGAGCCACTGTGCCCGGCCCTGACATTTTTTTTTTTCTTGAGGTGGATTCTTACTGTGTCACTCAGGCTGGAGCGCAGTGCTGTAATCATAGCTTACTGCAGCCTCGGATTCCTGAGCTCAAGTGATCTTCGTGCCTCAGCCCCCCAAGTAGTTGGGACTACAGGGGAGTGCCACCATGCCTGGCTAATTTTTTTACCTTTTTGCAGAGATGGGGGTCTCACTGTGTTACCCAGGCTAGTATCAAACTCCTGGCTTCAAGTGATCCTCCCACTTGGGTATCCCAAAGCACTGAGATTATAGACGTGAGACACCACATCCCACCTCCCGCTCAACTTGGACACCTTCTGTATAAGGTTCTCCCCTCCTTCCTACACAGGTTCTTCTTCAGCTTCCCTCATACCAGCACTTGTCAAGTGGATTTGTAAGTGTGGACTTGTCTGAGTCCCTGTTCAACTCCCAGCTCCCTGCCAGCAAGGACAGGGTTTTACTCAGCTGTGCAGTTGGGAGACCTGGCTCAGATACTAGTTCATAATAAATGCTTCATCAGTATTTGTGGAATGAATGAATGAATGTCTTTGGGCCAAGCATGGTAGCTCCCGCCTGTAATCCCAGCACTTTGAGAGGCCAAGGCAGGCAGATCACCTGAGGTCAGGAGTTCAAGACCAGCCTGCCTAACATGGCAAAACCCTGTCTCTACTAAAAAATACAAAAATTAGCCGGATATGGTGGCTCACGCCTGTAGTTGCAGCTACTTGGGGGGCTGAGGCAGGAGAATAGCTTGAACCTGGGAGGTGGAGGTTGCAGTGAGCCAGGATCAAGGTTGTAATGAGCCAAGATCGTGCCAGTGTACTCCAGCCTGGGCAACAGAGCATGTTCAGACCATTAAGTGCCCAACACATGGCCTCTGTGGCCTTTGGTCTTAGGGAAACCACTTGTGCCTCTCTCTGCTCTGGTCCCCAGTCTGGCTCTCCAGGGTCACTCAGCAGTCTATCTGTCTCTTCCCAAGCACTCCCTCCCACTGCCTCCTCCCAGCACCACCTTCAGGTATAAAAAAACACCTCTTCTTGGCCACTGGCCTAAGGGTCTTCACCTAAACCTGCTTCACAGAGGAGACCAGAGAGAGACGAGAGCCCTTTTCGCAATCCCCTGTCAGTTTCAGTGGCCTGCCAAACCAGGCCCTTTGCTGAGTGACCTTCCAAACACAGAACAAACCTTAGGCAACGTCAGAAAGAGATATGAGTCGGATGTGGATGCTCTCTGCTGCA